AGACTCTGGCTGGCGGCCGCCCCGCCGCTAATTCCCCGCTGACGGAGGCGTGACCCAGGCCGGCCAGTGACCTCAAAGCTCCCCACCGCCCCCTAACGGGTAGGTGGGTCGACGCAGATCACAGTAACACTGTTGCAAAAAAAGCAAACATCATTCTGGGATGTATTAGCAGGACTGTTGTAAGCAAACATAAGTAATTTTTCCACTCTATTCCATGCTGATAAGGCCTCAACTGGAATACTGTGTCCAGTTCTGGGTGCCACATTTCAGGAAAGATGTGGACAAATTGGAGGAAGTCCAGAGGAGAGCAACAAAATCTAGAAAACTTGACCTATGAGGAAAGATTGAAAAAATTGGGTTTGTTTAGTCTGGAAAAGAGAAGGTGACATGAGAGGTGACATGATAACAGTTTTCAAGTACATTAACGGTTGTTACAAGGAGGAGGGAGAAAAATTGTTCTTGTTAACCTCTGAGGATAGGACAAGAAGCAATGGGTTTAAATTGCAACAAGGGAGGTCTAGGTTGAATGTTAGAAAAAATCTTCCTAACAGGTTTCAGAGTAGCAGCCGTGTTAGTCTGTATCCGCAAAAAGAAGAACAGGAGTACTTGTGGCACCTTAGAGACTAACAAATTTATTAGAGCATAAGCTTTCATGGACTACAGCCCACTTCTTCGGATGCATATAGAATGGAACATATATTGAAGAGATATATATACACACATACCTTCCTAACAGGGTAGTTAAGCACTGGAACAAATTGCCTGGAGAGGTTGTGAAATCACTCTCACAGGAGGTTTTTAAGAACAGGTTAGACAAACCCCTGTCAGGAATGGTCTAGTTATTATGTAGTCCTGCCTTGAGTTCAAAGGGACTGGACTAGACCTCTTGAGGTCCCTTCCAGTCCTACACTTCAATGATTCTATGTCTGCATCTGCAGGCACTCTACTATGGGCTCAGCACACAAGTAGACAGGCTAGGTCACCAGATGGGTCACAACTGAATTTCAAGTGAAGTCATTTGTCTTCAATGGTATGGCAGAAGGAGCACATTCTTGGATCATATTATGTCTCTTCTGCACTTGATTGCGAAACTACATCTGCTTGATGTCCTCATTATTCACTTTAGTGAAAATGATCTTGAGGATTTCACCAGAGTAAATTTAAGAGTTAGGGTTCAGAGGAATGTGGACTTAATTAGGTGGTTATGGCTACACGTAATCGATCTAGTCAGAGATGTTTGTGAGGCAAGTTTGGTGGGGAGCCATTAAGCCAGCCTATATAGACATGGCCCAGAAGAGTGTGAACCGTGAGGCTGCCAGGAGAATTATGGATACAGGTGGATTGGTGATCACACACAGAGACATCCAATACATCCTGTGTTTTTTAGACTCCAATACATCCTGGAGTCCACTTGGCAGATTCATAGAATCATAG